AAAAAAAAAAAAACTATCAGAGGTCAGAGAAAGAACCACCTGAAAGGATTAGAGGAACAGTCTCCAAAGCTTACATAAATATGCGACATAAACTGGAAAGAGACACACACCCTGGTTATTTTCTTCTTCCTCCTTCTAAACCTCTTACCTGTGCCTCTCATTAGCTTGGTGGTTCTCACCTTGACTGCACACCGAAATCAACTGGGGAACTTTAAAAATTTTGAAGTTCTGGGGAAACCCCTAAAGAGTTTCCGTTAATTGGTGGGGTACAGCCTGGGCATTACTAAGCTTTAAAAGCTCTCCTGGCGAGTCTAAGGGTTAGAGCCGAGGCTGAGCCCAGACAGAGATCAGATCCTGGGAAACACAGTGCGCAGAAATCAGCACACCTCCACGCAGGCAGGGAAAGGGGAGGATCTGAGAGCCTGCTGGTCTAGGATCGACAAAGATGGCACAAAGAGGTGGGTAGAAACAAGGGAGACGATGAAAAGCAAAAAATCATAGACATGATCCTCTCTGAACCTGTGAGTGGCCAGCTCAAATTGATCACCCCTGCAGAATTCACCACTGCAGAATTTCCTCTCTCTTATGACACTTACTGCTGTTCCTCTGGCGGTAAGACATTCATCCTGTGTCTTGCTATCTGATTTGGGTCTTCCTGCAGTGCCCGTCAGGAAAGCCTGGTGTTCCTCCTCTTGCTATCTGCATTGTGTGTTTCCTTCTTTCCCAAGCTGGCTGGCTCATTCAGATATCTAGCTATTGTTGAGTAGTAATTAATGGCTAATAATAAATAATATGTTATCTCCTCTGGATAATGTTTGCATGGCAAAACTGACCATGAGTGTAAAAATTTCAGGGCAAAGTCACAGATTGTTTGAGTAGATCTGTGTGTGTTCCTTAATAGGTAAATAAATTTAAATCAACATGGTGACAGCCTAACATTGTAAAGTAACAACTTACAAATTATTTATTGTGATTCTTTTAAATTACAATCCTACTCATGGCTGTTAAAACACTCAACAAGGTGAAGATATCTTTTTTTTTTTTTTT